GATACGTCAAAAGATCACAAATCGTATCTAGTCGAAGACATTACCCTTAAAAATTGAAAAAAATTCCCTCGTTCCCCGTAAAAGGGGGAAACCTCCAAAAAAATTACAAATTTAAAAATCGCTAATTTTCGAAATTTTTTCAATTTTTTTTACTTAAAAGTGCCATAACTTTTTCAAAAATAAACATATCAATATAATTCTTTTTTATATAGATGCATAATATCATTACCTTTCATTTGGTATATTTTTTTCATAAATTTAACCCTTAACCTGCCCACAAGGGGGGATTTAAAATGACAACTTTTTCACAAAAAATTAATTTTTTTAACTTAAATTTTGAAAATGTTCCGGAAGGTCTGACACTTTTATATATACCTTAAATTAAAGCTAATGTAATATGCTTTATCATGAAAAAAAAAAATTTCGGACTTTATTTTATCTTCAAGGTGAAAATGGCTACCAAATGCTATTATTGTGTGAAAATTCTCAATTTTATTTTTTACATTTTTAACATTATAATGCTATAACTTATTGAAAAGTGTATTGATCAATATAATTTTTTTATGGGAAATACTATTTTCTAATAATCTCTTTTTTATTCGACATACTTTGTCTTAATCAGGATATTAATAAGGAACTAGCAGATCATGTAGCTTTTGGAATAATACACCAATTTTTTAAAATTAAACACTATCTAAAGATTTGCATCGAAGCGTTTTTTTTTTATAGTGATTTTAATCACTGTCAGATATCATTATACTTGATCCAACTATGCCACGTCACCACTGTGCTGCGACCCCCCTGTGCTGGGTTTTTTTTTTTGTAGCCATCATTTATTTTTTCAGCTCTCATTTGACCTACTTTTTTGACAAATTTTTTTTTTAAATTAAACACTGTCTACAGATTTGCATCGAAGCGTTTTTTATAATAGTAATTTTAATCACTGTCAGATATCATCTGTACTGAACCCAACTATGCCACTTCCTCACTGTGCTGGGTTTTTATATACTTTACTATAAAAAAAACAAAATTCGAAATATAGATTTTCTTCTTGGTGAAAATGACTGTTTTCAAAAATATTTTATTTTTGTCTGTTCAAATTCTGAGTTTTGTATTTTATTTTATTTGAAAATATCTTACAACGTGAATACACTGACTTTCATGAATATTATATAACTTAATTGACATAGAATAAAGTTCATAAGACATAAGAAATTAAACTTATTAAAGTTTTTTTACTTTTTTAAAGTCGAAATAGCAATTTTTAAATTTGAATTAGCTTAAATTGCTAATTTTATCTTGCGACGAAAATAACGGGCAACTGTTCAATCGGTAACACTCATGTCTTTCACGCTTAGGGTACGAGGTACAAATACGCCTATAGCAATTAATATTTTGTATTTTTTTCTAAGTTAGAAAAATTTTCAAATAATTTGATTTTTATATCATTTAGATTCATTTACTTCAACAAATATCAGGGATCCCATCACTGTATTCTGCCCTAATGAGAAGAAATTTTTATTCATGTTACTATTACTTATTATTTTACTATGTGGTTTTTTTTGTAGCTACTATTTATTTTACCAACCCTCACTTGACTTACTTTTTTCAACGATACGTCAAATGATAACAATACGTATTTAGTTGAAGATATTACCATTAAAAATTACAAAACAAATTCCCTATTTCAAATAAAGAGTAACTTAAACAACTTTATCCATACAAATCATTAATTTCTAATAGTTTTAAAGCATTTATTGTCGAATTAGATTTGATATGATAAAAGTATTCAAATACAAAATTAAGTCATTTTACTTTGTAATTTAATAATTTTATTACTCTTTTTTATTATTTTAATTTTATTATTTTATTTGTGTGTGCTACTACTACACTATAATATTCCAAATTTTTTGGTAACATGTTGCTATGTAAATCATTTCTAAAAAAAATTATTGTTAGTTTCTCCTGAATTAACAATGGATTTTTACAATTATAATCAAATTTTATAATACGCTCAATTGAATTAATCTATTTAACAACTTTTTTTCATTGGTTTTTAGTTAAAGTAAATCATTAAAATTAATTCAGTTCTGTATATTTCAATTGTAGTATCTTTTTAAACACCAAAAGTTAATTAGAATGATTACTATGATTTTTATTTAAGTGATCTATTACGATAAAAATGCAAAAAAAAACAATTTTACTAATAAATTTACTGTAAATAGTAATTATAAAATTTCCTGAGTGCATATTAATCTTACAATACCATTTTTTCTATTTAATTATGTCAATTTGAAACTTGCAAGTTAAGCTAAAAGTTATGGTAATAAATTCATTTTATTTTATTATAAACTTTCACTTTAAAGGGCAAAAAAAAGTAGATTGAAAGTAATTACATTTAACATATTAAAAATCAAAATCAATAATAATTTGAAAACAATTATAAAAATGATCTTAAATATAATTTAAAAAATGATTATTACATAATTATATATATTTTTGAATCCAAGAACTTGTAACCATGTTATAAATCAGAAAATAGGAGTTCATTTTGCTTTTATAATTATCCACCAATTTCTTAGAATTAAACACTATCGACAGATTTGCATCGAAGCGTTTCTAATGATTGTGATTTTAATCAGTCAGATTAAATTTATACTGGACCCAATTACGCCGCGACCCCACTGTGCTGGATTTTTTAAATTTCTTTCTACATATTTTTTTGATACTCGTAATTTTAATTAGTGATAAATATAAAATTTATCTCTCATATTAAACCATGTATAGTTCAAGTTAATTTTTATCATCCAGTAGACCTATACAAACTGAGAGATGCGCTCCTATAGTATAAACGACAAATCCATAATAATGATTCAAAACTTGGAGTTTTTCATTAATTGAAAAAAAAAAAACTGTTTAAATCTATAAAAAATAAATTTTATCCTATACACAATATTAGCTATCAATACCCATAAAAACTAGTTATTACATTAAACAATTACTTTTTTTCATCTAATACAATATAACTATTTAATTTATAATTTTATCCGTCAATTTTAAGAATTTAAAAAGTAAGTACATTAATCTCGTGTTTTAACATTTTGTTTTTATGAAACTAGATAATTTTATTACAAAGAAAATGCAATTTTAAGTAAAAGGTAAATAATAACAAAACATTTTCATAAAAAATCATTCTCATATCTTTATAAATAGAATTAAACAAATAACTAATATTATATATAGTAAAGACATTTAAAAAATGTAATATCTCAAAAAAGCATAGAGAATAAAATAATAAATTTAAATTGTATTTGTACATATATTAACAGATTTTTAACGTATAGCAATGAGACCGGACTCTATTAACTTTTGAATCTTGCTAGCAATATCTGGATTTTTTAAATGACTGAAAATAAAAAAATTATTTAATAAAAAAAGTATTGGTAAAATAAATATTAAATATCATTTTTGAAGATAAAAGATAAGATAAGATTTATAAAAATAAACAGATTTATATGGATTTATAAATTTTGTTAAATTATTTTGAAAACATCAATGGTCAGCACAATTTTTTTATATGATTGAATACTAGGTATTATGATGTGACTGAAGGAATAGTTATTTAAAAGACTTAAGGAGATTAAATTTTATTAAAATATTTGTTTTTTTATATTTGCAACAAATTTAACATGTTGACCTCTTTAAATTAATTCAAACTTTATAAGTAGATACAATTTTTTTTTCTTAATTTGTGTTTAATTTAATCACAGTAGAATATGATAATAGCATTCAAATCATATAGGGAATTAATGAGTATTCCAAATTTTATGATTGATTTAAAAAATACACATTACTCTTTTTCGAATCAAAATTTAACTTACTCGCTTAGAGCTTTAGGGTCATTTTGCATTTGCTCAAGTATAAGACGCATTGCAGGATCTCTAATAATATCTTGAACTTCAGGATCAGCCATAGCCCGTTTTCGCATTTCTTCTGGATCAGAATGTGCTGCTAATGAACATGCTCTATATCCCTCTAAGGCTTCCTAAATTATTAATAGATCAATTTAATAAATAAAAGTCAAGTAAAAAAACTGTTTATACATACAGCATTCGATGAATCAATATCTAGAGCTTTTTGATAAGCAGATAATGCTTTAGAAGATTGTTGCATGCCTTGTAAAATTTTTCCTTTCCTTATCCAACCTTTCACTAGAAAAACAAAATTAAAATGTAAACAGTTTCCTTAATTAAATATTAAATAAAATAGTTACAAAATTTAGGATCCAATTGAACACATTTATCACAGTCTTTAAGGCCTAAATCAAAAGCTGCTAGTTTTGTGTAACAAGCTGCGCGATTACTATAATATTTAGGCTCATCAGGATTCCTCAAAATGGCCTCTGAATAAGCCTTAACTGCATCAGCAAATTGACCTTAAAAAAAATTCTCAATATAAAATATATAATTACTGAATTGTAAAAATTGCATACCTTTGTTGAAAAATTCATTTCCTCTTTCTTTAGCTTGTTCCGCTTTAACTGGATCAATGTAAGCTTTGCGTTCTTCTTCTTTTATTTTTTTATCTAACTCTGATATAATACTTCTAACTTCAGGTGTTCTATGTTCAGACATGGATTTTTCAAAATATGTTTTGGCATTTTTATAATCCTTTAAATGAACAGGGAAAAAAAATTATTTTTAAGTATTAATATTAAGTGAGTAAATTGAGTTAATTTTAAGTACTTCTAATTTTTTATAAGCATTGCCGATTCTTGAAAATGCTTTAGCAATTAATTTGAAGTCAGCTCTATTTTCTCTGCCAATTTCAACAGCTTTTTCACATTCTTCAATGCATTTCTTATACTCTTTTTGTTCAAAATATACAGCTGAAAAAAAAATTACCTTTTTCATTATCACTTTACTACTATCTCCATAAAATCGAAAATCTACCTGCAACATTATTATAGTACGTTATATTTGTTGGTTCTAATTCAATTGCTTTGTTATAATGAGTAAGAGCAGATTCAAAATTTTTCTTTTTATATTCTTCATTGCCAAGATCTTTTTCTTTTTTAGCCTAAAAATATTTAATGTAAATATTTAATATAATAAGTTTATTTTAGTAAAATTCGAAACCCAACCATACAATAATACAATTTTACAAAATACATTTACACCAAAATCTTAAGTAAATTTAATTATACTCATAGAAATAAAAATATTTGGAACTGAAAAATTTACTACCAAATTTTTAATTGCTTAAAACTTATATTAAAAATAATTTCTATAATACATAAAATTATTTTTATTTAAATTAAACACTAAATACTAGAAAATTTATTAATATGATAATATCATGTTACTTTACAATTATATTTATTATATGCTGTTGAGTCTGTATAACATAATACCAATGTTTAATGCCATCAATGATCTATTCCCTCCTATTTTTACACGCGACAGTCATCAGCATAAATACCTAACCACTATCACAATTGATAACGGCTCTGGTTACGTTATCAATCAACCTGCTACCTGTTACACACAACATATCACCTATAGATTTTAAGGCTAGTCAGTTAAGAAATAATTGTCGAGTACTTAATAGTAAATTTTCTTTTGCAATTTTTTTTTTTAATTTTATAGTAGCCATAAGGGCCTGTATTATAAATTTGTTTTTAGTCAATTGTATGATATTTTAACTTAAGCTGTGATATTTGTGTTGAACTGTTGTTATTGATGTCATTGAAATCTGTGTTATTCGTTGAAAAAATTGTGTGTTGTGGTCTGTCTGTTCTATTATATTATATATTGTTGTATATTAATAGTGTTAAAATCAGCTGGCCAGTTCACATTAATCATCCCACTGTGAATATTGAGTTTTACATTTAGCTTTATATCATATATTTATTGTCACAATGTTCATCTAGTCATAGTCAATAGTATTATTATCATTTTTAATAGATTATTTTAAAGTATTTAATGAAAGTTTGAATTAATAGTTATTAGTTTAGGAATTAGACACATACATACATATACAATTACACACTTAATAGATCACTGGTTTTGCACAGGTGACCCCTCCCATCACCAGTGATTCTATTCCTGCACGACACATTAACAGGTTGATCAGTCGAGGAGTGGTATACCAACAAGCCAGTAAAAAGATTTAGTGACCAGGTAAAGTATTTCACCATTTAATACTCTTAACCTTTACATGCATAATAAAACTCTACTATTATATTATGTTATTATTACCTCCTTTTGTTCTTCAGTTAAATTTTCCTCTTCAGATTTTTTAGGTGGTGGAGTAGGTTCTCTTTTTGGTTTTGGTGGAGGAGGCGTTGGTTCAGTATCCATTTTTTCATCATCTAAATTAATTCCCATCATAACACTTAATGCAGCTGACATTCTTGGGTCCTGCATGTTAGCACTTTAAAAATGATTTATTAATTTAAAAAAAAGCAATTAACTATCGATATACTTAATTAACTTTTAGAACTTATTAAAATTTTATAATAAAAACAACAGTTTAACACATCATAAATGGGTTATTAAACAAAAAATCAATAAAATGTATACTACATAAAAACTTCAAAACATTAATAATGATAATGTAGTTGATATTCTCATAATCATTAACTAAATTTAATAATTTTAAGCTTTTCATTTTCAGTAATTTGAAATAGAGCTTGGGCAAAATGTATTTATGGGATTTATTTTTTATAGTATATTAGCAATTTTATTTAAGATTAAAATAATATCTCATATGTTTAAGTTACATAAGAAATTTTATTACAGCGTATAACTAAATATAAAAAGTAATTTGACTAGTTATAATCATATTACTTACAATAATTTTTGAGGATCTTTTTGGCACTCGATTAACATACTCATAAATTGTTGATCATTAATTAAATCTTTGGTTCTAGGATCTCGAGCTAATTTCAAAAATGCCTCTGGTGGAAACATACTGTTACCCCCAAAAGAAGGTTGATCTTGCTTTTTTACTTCTTTTAAACCATCTAATAATTGTTGATTGTTAGGATCATACTTTAAACCATCTTCATATGCTTTAGTGGCTTCATCTTTAAGGCCTAAAAACGCTAATGCTGTTCCTTTTCTAGAATAACCCTATAAATATTTTTCTTATATTATAATAATATATAAATCTAAAATTTATTGAATAATTTTACTTTTGGCCAGTCGGGTTTAATGGATACTGTCTTTTCAGCATCTTCTAGTGCATTATTATATTTTCCTTGTTTAGCATAAGCAGCTGATCTATTACTGTAGAGAACATGATTGTTGGGATCGAGAGCTATAGCCTGAGTATAATGTTCTACTGCTAAAGAATAATTCCCAGCAGATAATGCAGCATTTCCCTTCTCTTTTAAATCAAGAGCCTAGGTAACAAAATTTTCAAAAAAAATAACATAAACACAAATAAATACTGAACACTAAAAATTAATAGAATTATGTGAATCATAAAATTAGTAAATTTAGTTTTGAAAATATTTACATTTAATGTAGGTGAAACAAATTTAAAGTTTTTATATTATATTTATTACTTTTTTTAATATTAAATTTAGGTTAAGAAATAGTATTACTTACCATGTCTTTAATTATTAAAAAATGTATTTCAAGAGGAAGACTTAATTTTTTAACACAAATAGTTGTAATAAACTAATTTTATAATTCAATGTGGTTAAGTTAAAAGCACACGATAAATTTCAAATAGATTGCTGTAAACGAAAATTCTAACACGGCGCGATTAACAAACAGCCTGACTCGAGTTGAAGAAATGAATAGTATTTCACCGCATGCCGAAAATGTTAAAAGCAGAGAATATTCTAGAATACAGTCTGTTTGAAAAACAACCGGACAGTGATGCCAACAATTTAAGTTTCGTTATCATTATAAATTATCAGTGAATCCGACAGTAACGTTATTCGATTGAAAACAAAAATGTCTAACAAACAAAAATATAGACTCTATAACTCTCAAAAAGTTTTAGCCCTTAGTAACGATGGCAACTTGTTAATTATCTTGATTAATGTTACAAACTGTTACTGTTATTTTCTTAAAATATTTAAAAAAACTTAAGTTTTATATAACTGTATATACTGTTATTAACTCTTAATAACAGTGATATAACTGTTTTATATGTTAAAAAACTGTTAATAAAATAAAATAAATATTTAGTTTATAAATTACTAACATTAAATATTTATAAGCAATTTAAATATAAATGCAAAATTGCTCAAATAATTTAATTTAAGGTTTGTCATAAATAATGATTCTTTCAAATTAAATTTTAACGAAATGGTAGAAAAATGATATATGATAAGCGATTTTTGATCTTTTTATATAAATGTGAAATGACGTTTTATTTACGATTCCTATATCTGTGTTTGATAATCGGTTTAAATAAATGTGTGTATACATTCGTTTATGTGTATTATTTTTTGATATATTCTTCACAAATTTTATACTGACCAAATATGAATTTATATTTATTTGTTAATGAACTTTTATTTCTTGCTTCATTGTGCATTATAACGTTACACTGAAAGTTATAAATTCTAACTATTGTGTTGTAATCAGTATACTTTGATATTTAAACTTTACCACATTTTGTGTATTTTGTGAAACGCGAGTTACACAGTCACTAATATTTTAGTAGGTTTAAAAACTAACTAATAATACCTAGTAATATGTATGTAGTTGGTACTTAGTTAAGTTTAAACATTGGAGGATACAATTAAATTGTTAGGGAATTTGTTATTTAAATTTTAGCTAATCGTTTCTTTTCGTCCGAGAATAAAAAATAAAAAATTTTTATATCTTTTTATTCAGCTATCTACAACACAAACACCTTTAATTTACAATAATCTGTTAGTTTTTAGTGGAACCGGTTTTGCCCTGCAAATAGTTAATATAAACATATGAGGGAAGAAAAAAACAATTAATCAAACCTTTTTTAAAATTTATTTTCTATCTTTTTTTTTTTTTGTGTAATTCTGATAATTTTTTTTGGCTCTTTCTCATCTGACTTGAGCAACCTCTTAGAGAAATAAGGATCTTCAATCTCCGGAAGTAAACACTCCATGTAAAACCTACTAAAATATATGTAACTGTGTAACAAATATTTTAAAAATTGCGACAAATTTAAATAAAAGATAAGTTAATAAACAAACTGGCAACATGTGATATTCATAAGTGTTAAGAATGATTTCAATGCTCTACCCTTTTTAATTATATAGATTTATGTAAGGAACGTTGCCAGTTTACTTATGAACTTATTTCTAACCCGTGGGACACGTAAAAACGCACCTGATGTACCACGTGGTAAGTTTCCTTAAAACCCTCTGTCAAATCTATCCTGTATACAGGACCTTTTTTTAGGAGTTGCTCAGAGAAGAGCAACGTAACCACATCCAACCGGGGAGTAGTGTTTTAGTGTTTTGTTGTGTATATATATTTAGTCATTACAGAGTAATGGATCAAATACGTTGTGCTGTTATACTGACCCATCTATATTCTACTCAAGACGTTTGATATGAGATACTGTGAGTATTGGTTTCATTGGAAAATAACCTGCCGTTATAATAAGCATTGGGCTCAGTGGAGAATTGAAGAAATTACGATTATGAATCCACCTTGTGTAAACACAAAATAAAATTAACTGTTAGTATTTATTCCAAGTAACAGATTGTTATTTCTCAAGCAGTCAGCAGCGTATTTATATGCAGCAGTAGCTTAGATACAGGGGAGCTTTAGGGGGTTTAAACCCCCCCAGAACCAAAAAAAAAATTATTTATAAATAAAGTAGAGGTACGATTTAAAATTATTTTTTATCATTATTTTTTTACATTTTGTTAATAATATTATCAATTAACTTTAAATAAAAAAATACATCTTTAAATATAATTAGTCAAAAATTTAATATGAAATAAACCCCCACCATAAAATAATCGTATCTACGCCACTGTATGCAGGCAATATAGGCAACTGCCTATAGCGGCATATTTTAAGGGCAGCAAATATTGAAGGCCAACATATTTATAAAAAGCGAGTTATTTTTTTATTGTTTTTATAACATATTGACTTCCTAATAATTATCATAATCGTTTTCATTTTTTGTGTATTAATAGCTACAAGCAATTTATTTTATGATTTATTAATAAACATAGATTTGATTAAAAAATATTTTTTAATACTTTTTTTTATGAGGAAGAATTAGTAATGTTATGGCAAAAATATATGAAAATGAACCCCCTCCGTCATAACGTAATGAAGGACGGCAAATTTTTAATGCGTATAGGCGGAAAATATGTGAATCGCCCCTGCAAGCAGTAACTGTTATAATTCACTGTTACTGTTATTTTTTCCCATCACTAGCCCTTTGGTACGTTCTTGTAAATACACATCATAATATTAGATACGTACGTATAATATTAGATTAGTCTTAAGGTGTAAATCTAAATCACACATCCGTAAAAGAACGGTATAAAGCTTCGATCTACCCACTGAATACAACTTAAGGATAAGTACTTATTGAGTTACAAGCATTTTAATACATAGATTTAGGATGTAACATTAAACTTAAGTGTTGATGTATATTCAAAATAACGAAAAATGAAATTTTGAAAGAGAGATTACTGGCTCCTTGCTTATTAGTTGCGGCAGTATTTATATTTCTCCGATTATAATTATCAGAGGGCGTCTTTTTTAATCATTAGAGAAAACTTAGAAAAATATCCTAATCGGAAAAAAAAAATGCGAAAATTCCCACACTGATCTAATATTCTGTAACTACGCTCTGCCCATGACATGGAAAATGTTTATCATTTAATCCTTCAAATAGTCTCGAAACACAGTGATAATGGGACAGGTATTCTGTGTGTTCAACTCAAATTTCCCTCAAATCTTAATTTTTCAGTTTGATATGAAATCGATACATTTTTTCATCATGAACTAGAAATTCATTCAACTTTTCCTGTTTTCCTTCTTTCTGCCTCATTACATCTTTAAGTTACATACATTGCGACTTTATAGTTAATTTGATAAATTATTTAATTTTTATAAACACGACAAATAACTGACAATTAATGAGTAATTGCAAATTTTTACTAAATTTTGCAATGTATACAGGAAAAAAAATTCTAGTCACTTGGCAACAAAGTTAAAAGAATAGCTTAAATGTTTCAATTTTATTTCAGCTAATATAAATCATTATTTTATTTTCAGACAGTATGTATTATTTTACTTCCAGCCAAAAGATTAAACACTATTTTTTAGCTTCGATGCGAAGCTGAGAAGGTATTGGTTTTACTATGATGTGTTTTTTTTTTTTTATGTCAGTTACCACTTTTTCTCAGCTCTCACCGAACAAATTTCTTTCAACGATACGTCAAAAGATCACAAATCGTATCTAGTCGAAGACATTACCCTTCAAAATTGAAAAAATTTCCCTCGTTCCCCGTAAATGGGGGAAACCTCCAAAAAAATTACAAATTTAAAAATCGCTAATTTTCGAAATTTTTTCAATTTTTTTTACTAAAAACTGCCGTAACTTTTTCAAAAATGAACATATCAATATAATTTTTTTTTATATAGATGCTTGATGTCTTTACCTATCATTTGGTATATTTTTTTTGTAAATCTGACACTTAACCTGCCCACAGGGGGGGATTTAAAATGACAACTTTTTCACAAAAAATTAACTTTTTCAACTTAACTTTTGAAAATGTTCCGGAAGGTCTGACACTTTTATATATATCTTAAATTAAAGCTAATGTAATGTACTTTAATTTGAAAAAAAAAAATTTGACCTCTGGACTTGTCTTCATGGTGAAAACGGCTACCGAATGCTATTTTTGTGTGAAAATTTTCGATTTTATAATTTACATTTTTTACTTTAAAGTGCTATAACTTTTTAAAAAATGTATGGATCATTACAATTTTTTTATGAGAAATAGTATTTATATAGATCTTTCATTCGACATACTTATTTTTTTAATCGGACCATTTCCCTTAATACAGGGGGGATTCAAAACATAAAAATGTATATAGAAAGTAGAACTTTTCAACTTAACTTTTGAAAATGTTCCGGAAGGTCTGACACTTTTATATATATCTTAAATTAAAGCTTATGTAATATACTTTAATTTGAAAAAAAAAAATTTGACCTCTGGACTTGTCTTC